TCTCTGGAGACCTGCTGTCAGACCAGACAACAGTGACTATAGACGAAGTGGTGGTACTGGAAATGCAGAGGTGGCAGAGCTGCTATACTTCCTGAAGAGTACGGGACCAGGACAGGAAACATCTTCTCAATGAAAGACTCTTTGTACAGGGGATGGTATAAACTGAAGAAGAGAGCCGTGTCCTGCTTAGGTGTGTGGCTCAGGACTTTTTATTTGTCTGTAGCTGAAATGTAGTGACAAGATTTAGTACGGAAGATATTGCTTCCTGATATTGGCCACTGTAAAAAAGATTCTGGAAGCCAGGACTAGAAGATGGGATCATCTTATAGCGCCTCAGAATCTGAGAACCTCACAACTGCTTTTTCCACATTTATGCTCTGCTCTTTCCATATCTCTGCAATATCTCTGAAATGGGGAATTACTTACACCCATTTTATTAATCACAAAATTCAAGTGCAGAGACTGATACCTAGGTTCTCATAGCTACCCAGAAGCCTACATCCCACTGATATAAACAAGGAGGAAATGTGTAAACAGATTCTAAATCTTCACCTAAATGAATATCTGCAGACACAGTGAAAATCCATGCAGACTGTGATACCACACAGCCTTTCGCTACAGACTGTGCTTCACCAAGTGGGCCACTACTGATTTGCAACTGCATTTTAGCAGGGCTCTGAAATTATAGACGTTAAAGGCAATCAGAATTAATATTTCTGCATTGTCCAAGGAGCATTATAATAATGAACTGTTGCTCATCAGCTTCTGAAGATAATTTTTTCAGAGGTCACCTGTGAGATTCTGTGAAACCCATAGGTGACTCGCTTCTATCAGCCAGCAGCTGCAACCTCCAAAAAACTCAGTTCTTGAGACATAAATACAGCTGTATACCTGCCCTACCTGAATTGCTGTATTGCTATGCTGTAATCTACAGATTCTGTCAACTTTTTACCCTTTCCCCCAGTTACTACTAGTGCTGTGTTAGACACTTTGACTCAACAAGGCAGAATACCTAAGGTTTTATGTCCTGATGCACAACTATTGCTTCGAATCATACCAACTACTCAAAAGCACCTAACCAAGGGACATTTCGTTAGACATCAGGCTGTGCATTCAGGAGCTGAATCATCATCATCATCAGGACTCTAGAATGAGTGAAGGCAGCTTCCCCTCCCATCTCTGGCACCTCAGGTAGGACAAATTTGGATCACAAAACCTCGAAGAACATTTGATATAAGTGACACGGCTGCCACACACAACCTCTTTCATAATTATAGTGTTTAACTACCATCATACCTGGTCATCTATGCAGACACTAAGAAAATGCATAGATGACTCCTGCATTTTTTTTTCTCCCGGAAAAAAAATGGCAGGTCTGGGAATGAGGTATTAATTGAGACTCTTATTACTCTTGATAAATGTTAGCGGAGTTCTTAATCACTCAAGATGGCCAGAATACTCATTACTTGAGTTGAGAAACCACTTCAATAAAATCTGCTTTCTTGCAGATCGCTTTCTTCTGCGTCTGCAGAATCATAATAGGTAACATGGGGTGAGCATTTGGGGCTTGAAAGTGCGAGCCACATTGCTGTCTCCCAGGACTTTCTTCACTTAAGGCAAAAGAAGAGAATGAGGCCCATAATTTTTTTATAGGTGGTGGACAGTAGAGTAGCAACTATGGGAGCAGCAAGCTGACTTCATAGAGGACAAGTCACAGGCTGTAAGTAAAATGCTGGGAGTATGCAGAACAGCCACTGAAGATCCACTCTGAACTTTTCCTGTATGTATAGCATATCATACCTGGGCTGAACTCAACTTTTGGGACTGTCATTTGTTAGTGGAAACAGGCAATGAAAGTGGGAATTATGAACAAATGAGATCATAAAGCTCTGGTTTGTCCTACCCACTCACAGCAGTTCTGATGTCTCTCTAACACAAAGGTTAAGGCCAAAAGTTATTTCTCTGCCCACAAAGAAGGATACTCAATTTGCATTTGAATACAAAACTCAGAACCTTTACTCATCATGAGGAAAACAATGGTTTGATTATATGACAGCATTCCAAAGGGAAAACCGGGAAGGAACTAAAAGCTGATTATCTCTGTATTATAACCCCAACACTCAGCAATGAGTTTTTAAAAGGCAACGGTCCCTGGGAAAGGAGACCAACACACACCTTATCTGTCCTAGCACAGTCTACTGCTCCCATTACAGAAATCTTTGCATATACAATCCCTGTTCATCAGAAACACCATAAATGTGTTCATTTCAGTGTGTCCCTTTGCTGCTATATTTTCTACGCTCTAGAGGGGGATCAGAAATGCTAAACTTTGTTTATTGCTCAGGATCAGAAAGGAAAAGATATCCTACTATTCGACACAATATTGAAAGCCATGAGATTTATGACATTGAGGGCTTTTTTTCAACAGTATGACAAATTCTGTATTTAAACAGATTACTCCCACCACACAGAAGCAGAAATATAACATGCCTTTTGTTCAGAGATTTACCATGTTTAATTATTCATTTTTTTCAGTGGCTTAACCATGTATTCAGTTAAATAAAGTAATAAACAAAAGTGTTCAAAAAGTGAGGCAATATTGTCTTTATGTTATTTTTAAATTGTGATCAGGTATCTATGGGACATGGAAAACTAAAAATCAAACAAAGTACATGATCTTTGCTTCTCTAAGAAAATTTAGTGCCAAATTCTGCTCTCAGGTAAATTTCTATAAAGCATTGTCCATAATGGCATTACAATAGAAGGGCGTATTTCTGGGTTGAAAAAGTGCAAAAGATCAGGAGTTGTTCTCAGGTCTTAAAGGCTCAGCACACACCAAACGGAGAGCTGGTGTCTGGCTCCAACACATACCGCTCTGCTGACCTAGTGCAAGCAGACGCGGCATCACTCAACTCCCACAAGCTGATTTGATTTCACCAGATCGTAAGTAAGTTGGCTAAATTTGATTTTTTTTACTTCAGTTTGCCTGCTTCAATGAGTGAGAGCACAATTTGGCTCCTTTCTCAATGAGAAGGAAGCCAACCAAACAACGACTTTCACCAGGCCTCAGTCTTTGGCCTCAGATTTCAACATACACTATTACAGCGATCAAAAGAACCATAGAAATTACTTATCATTTTACTGTTCCTTAACACATTTCACACAGTCCTGCAGTGAGCAGAATCACAGATGAACCTCAGAACATACAGAGAGCACAACTACTACACTGGACATGAAAAGGAAATTTTATTAAACATGTTTACATAACATGAGTTGGAAGTTCATTTAAAAGCACAGGGGAGTGTTAAGACAAGTGGTCAAAATAGAAAGATACTATCGAATTATAACTAGTTGGTTTTTGGCCACTAAGACAGAACAGGATCTAGTAGTAGTGCACCAATGCTTGAGTTCTTCCTGCTCAGCAGGTCGAGCAGTAACCAATCTGCGCCCTATGGAAAGATGGGCAGAGTAATTCCCACGTGTTGAGTAATAATAAATAGTTCACTTGGTGCAGGCAGTATGTCTATGAATTAAAACCTAGTGTGTACACAGTTTCTACATGTGTTACAGCCCCACAGTAGGAATCTACACCAAAATAGTTATTAGAAGGAATTTGGTCCGTACTACATCACGTTTTCCATAGGGTAAAAAATAAAGTCCATCTATAGACATTTAGCACCAGACTCACAGACCTAGCCTGGCTAAAACCTGCAAAATGTCTATAAGAAAAATGGATGGCTTAGATTTCTTGGTTACTTCAGTATAGTAATTACGAGCAAACTGTACAAGTACATGCAACATACAAGCTGGCCTATGTGGAACTAACATACATTATTAAATAACCTTTTTCATCTCTTTTTACAAAACGTGCATGCAGCTTTGAACAGTTCCAAGTCATGCTGCTCTATTTGTGTGATCACAAAATTGAATGGCCTGTAAAAGGAGGGGAAACATATCAATGCACCTGCAGGAATCTGCAGTTGTTTGCACATTTACAGAATATCACAAGGGATTTCAAGGCCAAGAAGAACTCAAATGAATAAAAAGCAAATTGAAATTTGACTTTTTTTTTTTTCTCCAAAAAGTAAGATATCTTGCGTTAAAAAATCAAGCCTTGTGCTTGCATCAATCTCAAAGAAATGTAAACTAAAATTTGATAAAAACATTAGTAAGTGCAGAATATTTCAACTGGAATTTCCAGTGAAACACTGAACAACTCATACCATGCTCTATCCAGGGCAGACAGGTGCGTCTGAAGCGACACACATCAGAGAAGCCTGGGTACAGCTGAAAGTGTCATATGCTCAATCCATTCCTGGTCGACATTTTGGGAAGTCAAATATACATTTATACACAGAAACGTAAATATTTCCTCTCCATTTCTAGGAGGAAAACTGCATTACCAGTAACGTATTCAATGTCAAAATTAAGACTAAAGCTGCGTTATACCAGTCCCCAGCAGTAGTTGCAGAATTCTTCAAAATTCTTCCATGCAAAACATCATAAACATAAAAGTTCTTATATATAATGCAAACATATCTGCTTTTTACAAAGAAAAAGTGGCACTATGATGATTATTTATTTTTAAGAATATAACTTAGATTGGTCATTTTTTCTGGGTTCCCACATGAGAGACTTGGGAGTCTCTCCTTGGGAGAGAACTGAGAAACGATTTGAACTCGCTGGAATTGTAACTGTGGCTGTTGAACACTTTAACGATGCTTACAGAGATATGCTTCAGCCCTTTTTTGTTTGGTTTAGAAAAAGAAAGGAAGGGTCTCTGTTAGCGTTGTGAGGACTTCTACAAAACTAGCAGAATCAAATGGCAAAAAACTAGTGGAAGTGACAAGTACAGAAAAACTGCTGAAACACCAGGAAGGTAACACTGCTCAAGGGCTCTGTCAAAATGTGAACAATTCAACATTGTTAACAGAGTGAGAGCTTCCAGTTTGGCTCATCTTTGACTTAGGTCAAATCTAAAGGTCCCACTCTCTCTCTCTCTTTCTCTTTTTTTTTTTTTTTTTTTTTTTTTGATCATTATAAGCATCAGTGATAGCCGCTAATAGATTGGCTGTATGTGATATACCTTTGTTCTGTCAATTTAAGCCATCTCTCGACAAACAGACATATTTTTGGATAACTACTACAAGCAAAAACAGAAGTGATTGTCTCTCTCCAACAGTATTTTTTGATCTTGTAAATATCCGGTTCCAATTGGTTATCCTGGGTGACGTTCTCATTAGACAGCACCTGCTACTATGATCTAATGCAGGGAGGCCCGGTTGAACTTTCCAGAGATGACTGGGAAGCTCTGCGTGTCAGGGGAGTCAAGGTTGGATCCACTAGTGATGAAGGTGGAAATAATTTATACCAGCCTATTACCACACTGGACAGATCCAGTTCCTCCAGAAGGATCTGGGCAACTCCCATGAAGCATTTGTGGTCCATTCGGCCATAGTCTCCCCAGACTATTACCTGGAAGGACAGAAAATACAGGTTCAGCATTGTCCTCAAACCCATGCTTACATGTTCCTTCCTGCTGTTATGTGTAATGTAAGGAAAATGTTATTCTTAAGGGTGAATGATTGTTCCCCATTTGTGGGAAAACCTAATGGCAGGACAGGAGTGAGTCAACAAAAGAGAAATGTTTAATACAGCCAGACATTTTGCAGGTCTGAAACCACAAGCCACAAGGAGGTTTGCTGGTATTTATAAAATTAAATGCTTAGTGAGTTGGAATGGGTTTATGCATATTGCTTAAACTTAAGTAAACATGCAAGCACTTGTCCAAATGATAGCTTAAAATAGGACTAAGAAGCAACTGACCTGAAGGACTTTACCCTGTGGACTTTCATCAAAAACTAGTGTCTGTTGGTACAAAGGATCAAGGGTCTTCCGTGCAATTCTTGTCTTCTTCTTAGCTATACATGCTCCATTTTCCAATAAATACACTTTGACATACGGAGCTGCAAACAGAACATCATGAATTTTATGTTTGGACTTAAAAACTTCTACATTGCACATCTGAGCTGGAGGACAAATGCCTTAAAAGGAAGCTGAGTGGAAAGAAAATAACATACACTGTCTTCACTGTATAATCTGAATGCAATTATATTCATAAAATAAATGACACAGCCCATAAGAAATCAATTTGATTTTTAGAAACCTTTAATTTAATGATCTAAGATGTTACTAGCAACAATTCTGTTTCATATCTGTCATTTTAAAAACACTTCCCTTTGCCAGGAGTTAACTGTCACTGAAAGCTACTCTGGAGTCGCTATGTATGTTTCGGGGTCAGAGATGTTCCAAAACAAAAGACACTGATGTTTCATTGAAAGGAATATTTAAAACTAAGTCACTCAGATAACACAGACATTAATTGCTCTTTTGTCTTCAGTTCCTAAGGAGGTTGTAAAGTACCATTTTGGCAAAATGTTATCTAAAACAACTGTTCCAGTTGTCATGGTAATCAGTGGTTGTGTTGGAGATTACACATCTCTTCTAATAAAGATTTCTATAAATAACCAGAACTTCCAAAAATGTTGTTATAAAATGATGCAATATTAAATCTCATTCATTAGACAAATTATTGACACTGACACTAGCGTAACCTGCTGTATTGAAGCACTGTTGTGTACAGAAGACCATGGCATATGGGTCCATTAAGCTGTTTGTTCAAAGCACTTTAATCTGTTCTCCATCTCTTGTTTTGATGTGGTACAAACACAAAGGACTTCATCTACATCGACAAAGCCCCTCTGAGATAAATGAATTGCCTAAGATACGCAGAATCACTTCTGCAAATGTTCTTTCCACAATGGATATTGAGTTGCTGAAAAATCATTGTTGAATGGTGATATGCAAGGCAGATGCAAGGTGGTAAGAACTGGACATTGGCAGTAAGGATATATCCATGCATGCTTTCCTTGTTGAAAAGCAAACCAAACAAATGCACATGTAGTGACAGCTAACGAGGAGTTCAAAAAGTCTCTAATTTCCAGTTCATCAGTATATGTCATATTCTTGTTTTCTGTTCATTTATTGTCTATTTTTTCCTCACCTGGGGTAGATTTGGAGCCAGGTTTTTGTGTGAGGCCACGGGCTCTAATGACTTCTACTTCTAACTGTCCCTTTTTATCCACCATTCCAATCTGGATGTCACCTGAGAGGGAGAAGAAAGAAGCCCACATTTTAGAGAAGCAGTACAGCCTGGGAGACACGGTATAAGAGTGAGAAACAGAAAGACTCATTTGACACTAGTCTGCTGCATCAGTGTTCTTGTCACCTCTCTTCCTGATTCCTTTAATTTCTCCATCCTTAAAAGAGAACTAAAATATATATAGATATATACTTAGGGAGCACAGTGCCCTCTCTTGGTTTATACCAGAGTTCAGTATTTCTGATCCATGGATCAGAATTTACAGCAACACTATGGTATAACCACCACACCTTTAATTTTGCACTGGTGAATTATCTAGAGACTTCCTACCTAGGTCTGCTGCCCCAGTGTGCCGGTCGCTGCCATGTGCTGCCCTTACAGTGGTCCCACACTCACTGAACCCAAATTCATGTGCAGAAATCTCCCCAGCTGCAAGTTTCTGCCTTCAAGATGCAAGAACTGGAAGCATGAAAGCTCCTTGTTTGATGAAGCAGGAAGGAGAATTGCTGGTAGAGGCTTATGTTGAAACCTTCTTCTGTAACTACAATTGCTTGACAGCGTCCTCAGCGCAAGGCAGAGACACGAGCCAGATGAGGCACACAGTCATAGCCCAGCTTCAGAGAATGATGTCCTGTCCTCAAGGAGCTCAAAAGAGGGTTTTTTTTCGGCAAAAGTCTCCAACCAAGCACATGGGTGACAACTTTCCTGTTTTTATCAATGTTCCACAACAGTTTTTGGTGTGAATAAAATGACGCAACATGTTAAAAGCTGCTTTTGCTACTAAATAGTCAAACTTGTTTCCCTGCTTGAGCTCTGACAAATGACATTTCACAGAATCACAGAATCATAGGGGTTGGAAGGGACCTCAGGAGATCATCTAGTCCAACCCTCCTGTTGGACTGTAGAAAAAGGAAACTGCTTAGTCTGAGACCAAGTACTGTTCTGATCTAGATCAATAAAATACAAGGGAAGTCAACTATGAAATCTAAGAGGCCACTTAGAATAAAAAATGCACAGTATGACATGGGCAGCTATGTGATGCCTGTGCAAATAAATGAACTATACGTATATCCATGGAACACGTGAGTATGTGTATATTTGACATGTCAAATCTCATTGTCTAAAAACACACACTCACAAATAGATAGTCCTGAACTATAGAATTTGGGGTCCAGGTTTAGAAAGACAGCATTTTGAAATTAACTGGGCATGAGATTTTCACGTGCTTGTCTAACAGCATAGTAAAGCGGTGTTTATACCTTGGTACTTGAGGTATGATGGAGCAGCAGGCAAGCTTTTTTTATCAATCAGACTTTGCTCGAATAAACAGAGCTCAGTGTTGCACTAAAAATAGTTCACAGAAAAATTCCAACAAGCTTTTTAAAGAGCACATCTCTGTACCTCATATCCAAAATAAAACATGCGACAGGGAACCAGAAGGGGGAGCAATAATACAAACATTTGCAAATCGTCACTAGTGAAAGGATACCACATAGCAGGTCTTCTGAAAATTGCTGAGTGTTTTTTGGGGGGGCCAAAACTTGAGCCTTGAGTAAATAAGGACACAATAATTTTGAGTGGGAAGTAAAGTGCAAGCCTTATCTTCAAATTGCAAATGAGATTAGCAGGCAGCTCACATAGGGAGCCAATACTGTTAATCACCCTGTTTCAGATGCTAGCATACCAGTGACTGTGTATAGGACCTTGAGGTTTACAGTGAAGGAAGCCACTTTGTAAAAGTCTTTTTGGTGCTGTAGTCTGGCAGTGTGTCCATTAGTTAATTTGCTCATTATTAATTTAACAGAGGAGAACATTCTATTCTTACCCATGGCAGGAGTTGCTAGCGTTTGTCGGCCTACTAACTGTGCAGGTCCAAGTCCATCGAGGAAATCACTAAACTGACTGTCAGCGCCCAGCCGTACTCCAGGAAATATTAAGCTGAAGTAAAAGAAAAGCGGGTTAAGCATAAGAACAGGATTAATTTCTATTGCCCTACAGTATTTACCTCAAAAGTACTACTGATACAAGGCAAGCAGCTCAGGATGTGCAACCACAAATTGTTCTGCAGCATCAGGAACAAACTCTCTCCCATGGACCCCAAAGAAGTGCAGTGAAATTCTATGCATAAACCCAAAGCAGTTCTTGCTAAGGAGGTGTCCAGGAGCGATGAAGAGCCTGACAGGTGAATAAACTATGAGTGACCTTGGATGAGAAAATATAAAAAGCCTCATGAAGTTTAATAGCATATCATTCTTCATTCTTGAATTCTTGATTTACCATGTAATACTGTTTTACATCTATACATGCATCCAAACCCCATCCACATCAGCTTCCACATTCCACAAATGTGGAAAACAGATGTATACACTAAATTAATCTGATTGATTCCTGCAGCTGTTTAATGAAGCAGTAAACTGGCAGGTAGTACTAGCGTTGATAGAGCTAAACCTAATGCCACTCCCTAGCCAAAATATTCTAGTAGCCACATCTAGATCTATAGTTGGTACCCATGTGGGGGAAGTGATTAAACAGTAGAAAATCATTCTGTTGGTCACCTTTCTTACAAGAATCTCTGCATTTAACATTCTTCACTCACTGTGATCTAAACCCAGAGCTGCTGTAAACTAACATTATTCTATCAAACTCAAGCAAGTTTGCAGAGCATCTGAGGATTTGATCTATAGCTAAATCACAGAATCAGAAAACCAGAAGACCAGAGAAGTTTTCCAAGCCACAAAGTACAGCACCACACTGAACAGAGCCCGCTGGGATCCCTTTTGCCTATGTCATTGTGTTCTGTTTAAGGAATGTTTCTCTTCCTTCATTGCAGCAAGATATATTGAACTGTTTCACCTGAGTTTTGTTATCTGCCTCCTTTGGCCCATTCTCTTGGGCTTCCCTTCAGAGTTACTGTTAGATATTGGTGGTGTTCTCACTTCACTGGCCTCACTGTTTCTTTGCTCTTGCCAGGGATTGGAATAGAGTTATGGAGATCAGGGACAGTATTTAAAGCTAAGGTCAAGTGTGAAGTGGGTTTGCAGTCAGGAAATGAAGTTGAGGTATACTGTCAGGAAATGAAGTTGAGGTATACGGATCATCAAGAATTGACCAGAAGAGCTGGTAACTCTAGCAAACAAAAAGTCTGGGACAGAAACATAGTGAAAAGTTAGGGAGCTGGTGCCAAAAGCATGGATCAGAAAAGTATTGAATAACGCAGGACAAATGTAGTCAGATGTGAAGAAATCTATCATATAAAAGCACTGAGGTAAGAAGACTTGTCAGAGGCAGAATTGGTGCTGGAGCAGCAAGAGATGGGGAGCAGGCAAAGGAGCTAAGGAGACAGAAACAAGACATAAGATGCAGATAGTATGACTACCAGCTTATGATAGCTCACTTTACCTTGAAGATGGACCTAGTTCTAAAGGATAATTTTCAAACTAAGTCCCACAATGCACACTCAACCTGCAAAATATTCCAATGAGAAGTAAGCACTCGGTTTACCTTCCAGGCTTGCTCTGTTCACTGCCTTACTCAGAGACTGATTCTCAAGTCAACACTTTAAAGCTCTACCTTGCAGTTTCTCTTCTCCAGATGCCTGCTGTAACCTCCAGATCCAGACCTTGGCTGCCCCAGCCTTGCCAAATCTGTTTACATGCCCTGAAGGTGGAGCAGAGGATTAGGCTGTTCCCTTGAAAAGGTCCTCACTGCCAGGCTCCCACCTCTCCCATACTGCTCACCAGAGAAACAAGCTCCCTCTGCTCCTCCTTAGCAGGGTCCATTTCATCTGGCCCTTTGTCACCATGGTGAGTGACTGATGCCTTGCAGACTGACACTCCAGCCTAGAGAGAGGAAGGAGGGTGGCAGGGTGGACTGTTGAAAGCGTAAAGGTAATGCCCTACCATCGAATCATACTGGGAAAAGTACTGTGATATTTTACTCTTGTCCCTCATTCTTTATCTGATGTTTATCTACTTTGGTTTTGAGTTATATATGATGAAGCCCGTTTTTCTTGCATGGCTCTTGCAATTCTTAGCATTATCATAGAATCACAGAATAGTTTTGGTTGGAAGTGACCTTAAAGATAATTTAGTTCCAACCCTGCTGCAGTAAGCACAGATATCTTTCACTAGATCAGGTTGCTCAAAGCCCCATCCAATCTGACCCTGAATACTTCCAATGATTTGGCATCCACAACTTCTCTGTGGAATCTGTTCCATTGTCTCATCACTCTCATTTAAAAAAAAAAAAAATGATGGTGGTGAGATTATCTGATGATGGAGAAACTGCACCTTTACACAGCTCCTTGCCACCACTGTGCCTTATACAATGCACAGTAACAACTGTGGTAACATGGCAAGCATATAAAAAGGTGAAGCCAAACAAGTCCCAATCTCTTCCTTCTTCCAGGTCTATAGGGTGGATTTGCCTAGCCTCTGTTACTACTTTTGTTGGAAGGCATCTTCTAAGAATCACCTTGTGACCACTGTGCCTTGGCAAACGCAGGGGAGTCCCATTGAGTGCTGTGAGGAGACCGGAGTATTCACTCACACTTGTGTGTCAGATCTTCCTTTGTTCTTTCTCCTTTCCTACACACTGAGTCACTCAGCAGTGAATGAAACCAGCTGCCCCATTCCCCACAGTTTTCTGCCTGATTTCAGCTGATGGGGCAGCTGGACTCTGGGTTTACAATTCTCAGTAAGAGACTTGGACCAGCTCCAAACTAAACTTTCTTTGTATACAGTATTACTGAACGGAGTTTCATATCACAGGGATTTACATACAACATCTGAAGTTTAACTCCAAGTTAATCCAAACATAACTCAAAGAAAAAGTACCCCTATGTTTTGTTTTGAATGCACTCTGAATTTAGTTGTCTTTTGATGAACAATATGCCTCGCTGGATGACAGGAAAAATGTGAAACCCTAAGATGTCCTCTTTCAATTTCAGTTTTCAAGAAATTTGTGTTATGTAGCTCAGTTTTGCAAACGTTTCAAGAGGATGAATCTCTACACAGAGCTATCCCCTTCGGCCAGAGCTGGGACCTCTGTTCACATCCCAAGTTTTCTCACAAAGACAGGAAACTTCTCCTACATTACTGATATTTTTAATGCCACTTACTTGCCCTCGGAGCTATAACTATTTATGCTGCCATCAGTGGATTCCCGACTTGGCTGTCGAACCATACGACTTCTCATCTCTGCTGCCATTCCTGTCTCTGTGCTTCTCTGTATCGTGCTCTTTAGCTTCTTGTTGCCAGCCTCTGAAAGCAGAGAAAAAGAAACCATAGTTAGAATAACAACTTAGAGTAAAGCCTTTGTTTGCAGTTTTCCCCCAACAACAGTGATCTGACTTGAGCATTACTATGGAATAATACAAAAAGACTATTCTGGTCGAAGAAGGAATCTCTCTTCAGTTGCAAACTGGCAGTGGCATCTTTTCAAAAGGGCTGCAACCTGAAAATCCTTGTTAGGGCAAACTGTTAGAAATCAGGTGTCTTATGAATAACCTTTATACAGCTGGAATGCAGACAGGACGACTGTGATAGTATCTGTTAACCATATACTCGGTAAGGCATCTCTGGTCACCCTGTTAGTTAGGTTGAGTGACTACAAAAGAAGTTACAAGTCTCACAGAGAAAAAAGTGGTGGAAAACCTCTTCGTGCATTCAACAGAAAGATGTTAAGTACTAAAATACTTAGTATCAAAAATATGATAACTTGTTTTGACCCAGCAAAATCTTACTTTTCACCACAGAAATTCTTCAAAGTAAACAATGAGCTTTACATGACTTCTGATCTCAACACTTCCTAAATAGAATTAACCTTTTGGAGTATCCATGTGGAAGATGATGGACTTCACAGAGTCTAGGCTTGCAACTAAACACTAGAAAGTAACGTAAATCTTGAGAAATTGTTTAAAGACTTGATCCATTTGGAAAAGCTTTCATCACACATTCTTTAAAATGCAATTTGAGTTCCACCTGGAAGGTTTGGTGTTATCCTTGAGCAAGGAGAGCTTCTGGTCCATTACAAGGGTGGTTCTGACCTCAAGGTGCAACAGACGATCTACAATGAATTCTGCTGTTGCATGGGAGAAATTACGCTTCTAAATTATGATACTAGTTCTCAGAGACCTTAACTGAAATACTCCCACCAAAGTCTCTACGTGATGTGATGTTTTCAGACTCAGTGTCCTGTTTGTTTTGATTTAGTTCAGCCTATCATTCAATGGCTAACATTACTTTCTCACAGGAACTGGTAGATTTTTATGAAGTTTCACGTAAGTCCATGGAAAAACATTCTCCTGCATTTGCCCCTTCATTTCAATGCCCCTTCATTCACTGTCTGCAAAGTTCCTGCTTCCTTTTCACAGTCGGCTCAGGGGAACACCTGAAAAAGTAAATGTTTCTTCCACCTTCACCTGCCGTGGAGACTGAATTGCTCTAAAAAAAATTTTCACTTTCCTATTTCACATGGACATCACTGATAGTTGAAGCTGGCAGATCTTGATCTCTCTTGACATAAAAGTTATGGCTTTGGTAAGCACCACATGGCCTGCCCATTGCTCAGGGTGATTAAACGTGCTGTGGAGAATAGCGGGTCCTTGCAGAGCTGGTGGAGGGCAGGGAGAAATCACACAAGACAGAACAGCTGCCCCCACCCCAATTTATCACAGTAACCTCTTTGGAGTTAGCAGAAAGATAGCAAACATGGACAAAGTGAAAAAGAAATAATTCATATATTGGGCTAAGAAAAGACAGTGCTATAGCAAATGGGGCTGTGGTTTTCCTCTCAAGCCTTCTGGACTGGTGGTTTAACTTGTGGCCACCCAGGAGCAGGGAAACTAATGCCTGAGTGGAAGAAATCAGCTATTTCCACAGATCCTTTACTCCCTTCTGAGGCAAACAGCTCCAAGGTTTTGCTGCGGGCCACTGCAAGTCATCCAAATTCCTGATCCATAGTTACCTGAAACCACCTTATTCAGTGCTGCTAAACATGAGGTAGACTAGGCTAGACAAGGTACAGCAGGCAGACCAGGCTCCACTCTTACACAGTGCAGGTGCCTGTGGGAGGTATTTCCTGGAACTTCAGTGACTCTGTATGTAGAAAATCAAATGCTACATTTTGGACCTGAGCTTTATCTTTAAAAACAGATTTTGTGCCCAGCATATCAACATTGAAAGGTAAGCTCAGCATCACAAATCAATCAAAAGGCAGCCTAGGATGTATAACCCACATGCAGAGCCCTGTGCCAAAGCAGGATTCTCACATTTGCCACCCATGTTGTTTTGTGCCTCTCTTTCTTGCTGGGATATGTCTGAAAGTGCCTCTGTCCCATCTGCCCCCACAAAATGGGTGAGATTATTTGTTTTATCCCCTGCTTTCTTTTCTGGAGCCATCCAGATCAGGAAGCATGACTGGAAGGACATAATATGGTAGAACATGGAATGCACACAGATGAATAGGGTGGCCTTGAGTATTCACAGCTCAGGAAAAAGGAGTGATGAGACACTAAAGATCATCATGACCCTGGCACAAACTGGGAAAGAGATGTTGCTCTGTACCACCTGGGCAACACAGTGGATGCTGAAATTTAACACGAGAGCCAGGCTGTTAGAAAAGCATAATGAAGAACAAATTCATAGAAATAATCACTGTAAAAAAAATCCATTTACTAAATTACAGAAATTAATATTTTATCTTTGAGCCACAGTACATATTGAAAATAGCAAGTGTTTTGTTTTGAAAGAGTAATTCTGTATTACCACAGATAACATTCACGTCGCTGCTTGAACATAGTTCTTTGCTCCACAGATTTTAAATGCACAGATCAGGAAGTAGAAATCCTTGTGCATGTCCATAAGCAAGTCCACAACCTTGTCTCACTGTGCTGCAAGTACCAGATCGTGTTTTTCTGAAGACCTTTCAAGTCACTGCTCCCTGTCTTACTTCACTGGATTCCACTTTTTTTTTTTCCCAACATTTTTTTCAGGTAGAAGATTAAAAAAAAAATTGCCTCCTCTTGTAATTGCTACTAATATCCACAATGTTTCCTGGGAAAAACTATGGAGTCCTCCTGCATATTTCATTTTATAACCTCAGTCTTAATATTCTGCAGTACAATCAGAAATATAACATAGAAGTAACCCATGACAAAATGCTAAAATACATCAAGAGTTTTATGGCATAAAGAGAATTAATTGCTTTTGCCCACAAATAAGAACTAAACCACACATTGCACAGGTTTTGGAAGTTTTAACTTTGGTCAGTTATGCATATCATATTTTTTCATCCACTTATAGCACAAAAGGTAATAAGAACAGTTTATCTGGTTGATGTACTCCTGTAAACTTCTCAGCAAAAACTCATTCTGCAAGGGAGGGAGGTTGTTAGTGTACAGCCGAGATGGGAGCAGTTGTTATTTCTAGAGGCACTCAGGTAACATGAAGTCACTCTGGGGTATGACTTCCAGTCCTGCCTCGACTGCACAATGATACAGGATCTGAGCAACTACCAGTGTTTCTCCTTCTCTTGATAATGTGGGGGGTTTTTAAACTTTAATTTTCATCTTCTATTACTTTTAATCTAGCAGTTCTGCATGTATCTTTGGAACTCTGTCTCTATATGAACAGTACAAGTTCATAGAATATTTAAGTTCAATATCTATGCTATGATATATTGCGAAGATTTTCTACTCTTGTCTGGGTATCTATTGGAGAATGCCTGATCATGTTCCTGATTTTTGTTAGTTTGATATGTACAATTAAATTTTGTAATATGTTACAGTTATTTGCCTGCACTGTGTAAATTACACTATACTCATTGTGCAGACTGAAGATAAAGTGGCTCTATACTGAATACCATTTAGGGGCAAAATTTATTCCAAGCTGGTCTGTATGCTTCTGTCCACAGTGTCAACTGTGTAAGGCTTTCTGCGTGCATAAATGCAGACTGATGTGCATAAATTGCATGTAAACACATAGTTTAACCAGTACAAGATAGAGAAAAAATACTACAGAGCAACTGTGATGAACATTTTTTGCAGGCTTAATAACCAGTGCAAAAGTATCAAAAAGCAGCCATCTGCAGCTACAAAAGATACACACCTTGTAAGCATTTTGCAATTTATCAACAGCCTTGTTGTAGCACCCCTGCTGCAACACACTCATGAGTGTGTGCAACGTGCAATTCCAGTCTACCTATTATAAATATAGCCTGTAGTGATTCCTTTTTAGTCTGTCAAGAAACCGGTCCCTGATTTGGTTTTCTCAGACAAAAGTAAATTAATGGAGATCCTGATCTAAGTAACGATGAAGAGCAAAAACCAAGTTAGTGTATGCATTAACTTCCATTTGCACAAAATATCAATGCAATTGATGTATCCCAAATTTCTGTACTTCCCATCGCCTCCAAGTATAGCAGCCAGGAGCAAAACGTTATTGACAAGAGAATTATATTAACAAGAAAGGCTCAGTGATAGTATCTATAGAACTATGATGGCCTACTAGAGATACCTCAAGGCTAGCTTTACATTTCTAAAGGCATCCAATTCAGAGGGGATAATGCCAGGACAAACAGTCCAAAATGACTTGTATCCATGACTGCTCTTAGCAAGGCCTGATTGCACAGGGCATCACCATTGGCCTGGCTTTTCCTCTGGGTTCCATGTGGTGTGTGGAGGCAATTACTACCTTTTGCTCTTGTTTCAGTATAGCAAGTCTGAAATGAACAAGGGGTAATAGTTTTAAACTGGAAGAGGGTAGATCTAGATTAGATATTAGGAAGCAATTCTTTCCTGTGAGGGTGGTGAGACACTGGAACAGGTTGCCCAGGGAAGTTGTGGATGCCCCCTCCCTGGAAGTGTTCAAGGTCAGGTTGAATGAAGCTTTGAGCAACCTGATCTAGTGGAAGGTGTCCCTGCTCAGGGCAGGGGGATGGGAACTAGATGATCTTTAAGGTCCCTTCCAACCCAAACCATTCTATGATTCTATGAAATAATGGGAGGGGCTGTGCATGGCCTGCTGGAGTAAAGCTTTTATCCTGTGATGCCAAGGTGTGTATTACATGCCATGGGACAAGGCTAGAGGACATACAAGAATATGCAAGGACACAAGCTTGGCAACTTAGTCAACAGGACAATGTTAAGAGACCTCTGCAGGGCAGAAGAGGACAATCCTGACTTCTATGTACTGCCTACAGGGAGAGATGCCTTGAGTCAGTATTTCCCAGATTCATACCTGAGGGCAACTAGTTGGGTAGC